CGTCAAAATCGAAAATGACGCCGACATCTCATTTTAACTGATATAAACCTTGTGATGGATAAATTGTCGTCAGGGGGGGAACGCCAAAATGAACACAGGCCAGACGCCAGCATTTTAAAAGATTTGCAGTCGCTCTCTCACAGACGTGCCGTCGCCTCCCTCTGTCTTTTCTACAAAATACTTTCACGGTAACTGCTGCGACGAGCTATTTTCGCCGGTTCCCAAACTGCATGAATTTAAACGTGCCACTAGGTCGGCATCTGAGCCCCACCCTTTCACTGTCTAAACGGATCATTATAGCTGTCTCTTCTACTCTAATAACTTCATGTCTTGCGCTTCCCATCTGTGGAACTCCCTTCCTCTTACTTGCATGCCTGATAGCTATAATCTCCAACTATTCAAATGCAATGTCAGTCGACATCTCCATGTGCTGTGATCTATTCTTCCCCGTTCTTCTCTCCATTCTTTCCTTTTTCAGGCCTCTTTAGCCTCGATCCAATTCTTTGTAACCCCTTGCGTGCTAGTGGCATTCCTGCCTTGCTTGGGGTGAAAAGTTTAAAAAAACAAATTAACAAAATTACACAAAAATTATAATGAAATACTAATGATTAAATTTATTCCATCAAATCGACATTAGCTTCAAGCACGGCCTCCAGACGGTTTCGGGATCTCCTGCATCTCTTCAGGACGGTCTCCTTGTTAAAGTTGGTGAATGCTGCCATAATCCTTGACTTCAGTTCATCTTTGTTGTCAAAAAGAATTTTATTGGTCTCTCGCTGAACTGCCCACACATAATAATCAAGGAGGTTGCAGTCTGGGGAGATAGATGGCCACGAGTAAGGGTGCTGCTGTCGCAGAAATTGTCTGACAGCCATGACTGGTTTCTCTTGCTTGTATATCATGGTACAGAATCCTGTTGCCACATACAGGTCTTCTAGCGGCCACCCTCTCGATCCAGAGCAGCTCTACTTCCTCAAGTAACTTGATATAGATCTCCGTGTTGAACATGAGGCCCTGTGGGAAGATGAATGAAAGCATAACGTCGCTACCATCAGTGATCACTCCATACACCTACGTAATCACCATTAGATTCAACTGTCCCCAGATTAATACCCAAATAGACTGAGATGTTCGTATTAGAGCTTCCGGTGCGAATCCCAAGAAGTACAGCATGCTGTTTCCAAATTTCTGGTGGACTGAATTCCGACATGGTGCTCTTTTTCTCAGAGACGTACACAACTGACACTACTATACTGGGCAGATGACAACATCAAAAACAACGCGCATGCGCCAAGTTTAAAATATAAAATGGCGACAATTTACATATCATCCAACAATGCACATTATCAAAAGCCTTTGCATAATCTAAAAGACACAAGTGCACATCCTTCTGCATTTATATTACTCTTTCTAATACCCATACTTTCACTGGCACTGTGGATAAAGGCTTTGGTTAGATCCAGAGAGAGGATTCAAAGAGTGTGAGTTCGATACCTGGTTAAGGCGGTGGAGAACTTGGAGAAGGGAATTAACAGGAGATAACTGACATCCATTAAACATGGCACGTGGAACTAGAACAGTCTACCCCAGTGAGCGAAATAAAGGGTTCAGTTTGACATTCCAACCACATGCAGCTTGGAAAATAATTCATTACCCACAAGGCCGCGTAAATTCTTTTGAACTCTGTCAAGGCTGGAAAGTGAGAATTAAACAGCCCCTTCCCAGACAGAGTAGCAACGTTTCATTTTGGGTCTGATCTCATAAAAAATGAGCCTTTCAGGAGGAATTAGATACTTTCAGCAAGTATCATCTCCATGGCAGACACCGAAAGTAAACTACAAGATCTCTAAGCCGAAAAGGAAGACAACGATGAAAGACTAATTGTTAACTGTGACAGCTAAAGGTCGGGTGTGTGTTTGAAGCCAAATATTTTCTCAAGGAAAAAAGGAAAGGACATCCGTTCATCGTGACGAGGTTAATGGCGAGGTAGTATGTATTCATAGTTGGGTTAAAAATGATCTGGAAACATAAAATCAACATCCTCTATCAAGTGTAAAAAGGACCTAAGATAAACCTTTGCGAAAAGGAGACTATGATCTAGAATTGAAATGAAAGCAGTTACGGGACATACTCTGAATTTATCATGACAAAAAGTAGTTTCGCCCAATACCGCAAGTTGCTACTAAACCAAAACATTAACCTGAAAACTCGAGTCATATTCTTAAAGAGGCTCAGTTTGTGATTTTTATATGGATGTCATGCATCGTGCCAAAGCCATTCAAAAATATCTAAACTCTCAGCTGTATACAACGACTTTCTAATATCAATCGTTAAAAAAGTCTTTGAGCGAGTGAAACCCTAGGGCAAGGGTCGGCAACCTACGGCCCGCGGCCCAGATCCGGCCCGCGAAGGCATTTTGACCGGCCCACGAGCCTCATTACCAATGACTCTATATTTTTAACATGAGAGACGAGGCTTTCGAATTCGACAAAAGACCTGCTATTATGTCAGTGCACTAAAAATATTATTATCTGCCAGTTATATTTCATGAGACTTATTTTACAAAGTTGCGTTGCCTTCGTTTAATGTCAAATAATGGATACATATTTGTTATGACCCTTGGCTACATTAAAAGATAAAAAGAAAGAGGCCAGGGAGGGACTGACATGCGAGGTAGCAGAAATCTAAAGACATGTTAAACATACGCGCATTATACATACATGCCTCATGAATGTGTGGATGATACCTCACGTGTACGTACGTAAGTGTATATGTTTGCAACTATTTGTACTCGTATGTATGGGTATATGTGCTTCGTTTTTGTTTGATGTGTGTGTGTGTGTGGTTCGTTTGTAGAACAATTTTCAATAACAGTTTCAAACCTACACGTCATAATTTCATTCATTTCACTTCGGTTGATTTTTTTCACTTTGAAGTATTTTGGCGTTCCTTGGGGAAAAGTAATTTTTGTTAGGTGTTTTTTAATTTTAGATTTTCTTTTGTCTTTCTGATTTCTCAATGTTTATTTTCATTATGGTTTTAAATATTTAGGTTGACAGGGTCTGCATATGTAATTTTCCTTAATTTTTCATTAATGGCCTTCGTCCGGCCCGCGACCCGTCATTATAACACGATCCAGCCCGCGGGGTCGAATGAGTTGCTGACCCCTGCCCTAGGGTCTTGGCAAACATTGCGAATTGGCGCTGCTGAATCGCAGACAATTAAGATCTGGATAGAGTTTGAAACGCAATATTTTTTCAAGGTAGGCTGCCTCCTCGAAGGGACATCTGTTCATCGTGACTATGTTGATGACGAAGTTAATGGTGAGGTAGTCTATGTTGATGACATAGGTCACAATAGTTTGGTTAAAAATGATCTGGAAACATAAAATCGACATCCTCTACTAAATGTTCCAAGAAATAGGACTCAAGATAAACCTTTTTTTCTACCTATTTTTATATCCGTTAAAAATGAAACTGAGAGACATGAAGATTAGTAAAGGATTAAAACTGTTCACGGATTTTGAAGACATTCAGGACTCTTTATACCAGGATCTGGAATTGAATTTGTAAATACTAAACACTTAAAATAACTCAAATTTAGCGTAGGAGATACGGAAACTGACATGGAATTGGTTGCACTAGAGGTAGTTTTCCCCCAATACCATAAGTGGCTACAAAGATAACGCCCAGTACCAAAGATGGGGTCAATAGTAGTATCGGTTAACATCTCCTTTAACTCTACCAACTATAAAGAACCTCCTACCACTAGAACTTCGTTCTATTATCAACGAGCTGACTGGGACGCGTTCCGTGATTTCCTCCGGGATGTCCCCTGGGATGGAGTCTTTAAGCTCCCCGTCCAAGAATGTGCTTCTGAGGTCTCTTCCTGGGTTAAAGCTGGAATCGACGCTTTCATCCCATCAAGGAAATATAAGGTCAACTCGCGCTCCTCCCCCTGGTTCTCGGTTGCTTGCTCAGTCGCCATCGCCCATAGGAACCACTACTTCCACCTATTCCGTAGCGACATGTCTGACTGCAATAGACGTCTCTTTGCCTCCGCCCGTAACGAATGTAAGCGTGTCCTCAACGATGCTAAGTCACTATTTGCGGCTCGAATGAAGGAACGTATTGCATCTCGCAAATTTGGCTCCAAAGATTATTGGCGTCTCTGCAAGAGTGTCCTGAACAATAGAAAACCCTCTATACCTCCTTTATTCAACCAGTTCGAAGTCCTGACCTCCTCTACCGACAAGGCTGAATACTTTGCTCTGAAATTTTCATTCAACTCGACGCTCGACTCTTCCGGTGTACCCATACCCGACTTCCCTCTTAGAACTGAGGCCATATTGAGTGGGTTAAACATAACCCCATCTTTGGTACTGGGCGTTATCTCCAATTTAGACCCCAACAAGGCTAGTGGTGGAAACAGGATACCAGCCATTGTCTTATAGAAATGCGCGCCTGAACTGGCGCCCGCCCTTTCGAAACTATACAACTA